TAATCTTTGCTGTTGACAAAGTTTGGAATTTCCTCGCAATTTTTGGGAAGTCCTGGAAAACGAAAAAAAGAATGGAAATTTCGATAATTGGGCTCAACGTCCCCCTTCCAACACTGTAAAATCATATAGACCTCTCTCGCCTACAACAGGTAACACAAGCATAAAGAATTTATTTAAAAAATAAAAGTTATTCATACAGATTGTTCAATTTCCTTTTCTCTATCTGATGCTCAAAAAAGAAAGGCAACAACGGGCATTCCACGAAATGTTAACGTTACTGTTTCACATTTGTATATTCTTCTACTTTTACTTTTTCGTCCTCTGTTGCATTTAAGCATCGAGGGAAAATGCAGTTTTCTACGGTAGGCCAGTTCTGCAGCTCTTCAATTAGGATTATTTATCAGGGTTTCCTTGACTTCCTCAATCCACTTTTTAGCGTGGTCTACCCCTTCCTTTATAGACTGAGTACTTGGTGTTATAGGCTCTCAGGCTGACTGGCGAGGTGACATTTGTAACAAGTGGTCAAACCATTTTATTATCTGTTTATTTCTATGAAATGTAGGCTGGACTAAGTGCCAATAGGCGCTTTTACTTCTTCATTTCTCTGCTTGTCTTTTCTTGTGATGTTAAGTGTTTGGCGGAAACATTTCATCTCACAGGCAGGAATTTTGTTTTCATGAGTTTTACGATTTGTGTATAAAGGTTCAAAATGTGCTGCAACATTGCCTTTGGTCTTCTGCTGATCGGACATGTGCCCGCCCCGTTCTAAAAGAGTTAATCAAGTTATAAACTGGAAAACCAAGTCAATGCATTAGATTTGATGTTTTCTGCTGTAAGGGGAACCATAAAATCCTGTCAAAGTTTCTCCCCCCCCCCCCCTCAAATCATCCTACATTCTACCTGTACATGTGGAAACCTCAACAAAAACATAAATAGCAAATCAAATCCTTCTACCTGTTAGCTGCGTCATTAGAACCTCAACAAAACGCAACAAATCAAATCCTCCAACATTGTACCTGTACACAACTAGTGCAATTTAAAAAAATAACAAAACTGAAATACATTCTCCTTCACGGTACCCGTAAATGTAAAACATCAACAAGGCGTAACGAATCACCCCCCCCCCAAGCACCATACCCGTAAATGTAATGCCTAAAAACGTAACTTATCAAATCCCCCCAACATTATACCCGTACAAGACTAGATCTAGTGAAAAAACATTTTAAATTAAAAAATACATAACAGGTAAAATCAAATCCTCTTACATTGTAGAAGTACATGCGAAACTTCAACAGAAACACAACGCGTCAAATCCTTTCCCAAATCAAATCCTCCTACACTATCATCATCATCATCATCATCATCATCATCATCATCATCATCATCATCATCATCATCATCATCATCATCATCACCATCATCACCATCACCATCACCATCACCATCACCATCACATCCCATTTTTCTTGTTTTGTTTTTCTTGTTTTGTTTTTCTTGAAGCATAACAGTTTGTACCATGTTGGCTCATTGTTACGTAACTTACAAATATCGGCCCCAAAATCGGGACAAAAGGCAAAAAAAACAACCCCCCCCCCCCCC